AACTATGGATGTCACACGGCCACTTGAATGAGGAAACTGGGACAGTCCACTGAGGTTGCAGCAGATTCAGTAGTGTAAACGAAGCAAAACGCTCCTTAATCATATCCACATCATGGCGTTCAGGTCACTTCTAAATTTAACCTTGAGTTCGGGAGTAGAAGATACTGAGACGATCTGAAATGACAAACCGCGCATTTCTATTCGCTTAATAATTTGAAAAGATGTCTTAACATTCTCGTATTAGAAAGAGTAAGATTTTGTTTACATGCGACTCTCTATTAGAAAGCGTTTGTTACATTTATAAAATGCTCATCATAAGAAAAACGGTGTGGAGGGAGTAGCCACGTATTGCTAGGCTTGGTTTTTGAGGAACTGCCTGATAATGACCTTGCGAAACCACTCATCAGAGAACTGAAGGTGGTATCCCGGGAGTGGAATAAGGTGAAGGCGTCCTTGTTCATCTAATGTCTTCAAACCGAGGCTGTCCTAAGGAGGAAAAGGCAAGAGAAAATGCGAAACTGTTTGCTTGTTCTGGGTGATTGTTCATGCCTAATCCAATGAAACTAAGAGGCTGGAAAGTATTGACATCGAGCCACTAGGTAGACGTAAGTAGCACAAGCCTTACCGTTTTATATTGCTTGCTTTCCTTAATGTCGTAGACATCTTCAGGCTTATCCGAACGGTAGAACCCAAACCACTACAAAAAAAATCAACCACACGAAATAAATGTTATGCTATATCATGGTTAGTAGCTCAGCCATTTGTGCGGATATGGTACCTCTGAAGCCCCAGGAATGACGGTTACATCATGCATGAATCGGACCAAAACCAAATTGGATGCCCTTAGCAGATTGTTCTTGTACGTCTGATTCTGCACCTAAAATTTGCGCAATTAATTTTCTCGCCAATTGTGCCGACTAATGGCAATTTTCACTTGCTAAAAGAAGCGAGGCAAATTATATGAAGCTCATATAAACGGATATCACTGGGTGTGCCCAGTGGTTATAAATAGGAAAGTCTTCAAAACCAACCTTTTCCTGATTTATTTCAGCAAGGAATTGGCTCTTTTCTCTGTATAGGGTTTCATTGTATGGATCATGCCAATACTGAGCTTGAACAAAGCTGAAAAAGGAAATTCTCAGGAGTTAATTGCTAAACCGCATAAAAGCATGCATTGGCATCGCACTCAGACGTATTTGGTCACAATCACTAAATTTTGACTTTAATGGGCTTTGGGTGTGAGGCAGATCGTCTGATGATCCACTTAATGTCAAGATGCTGGTGACGCTCAGGTTGCTATTTCCTTGAAGAGCGAACCGCCATGTAACAATAGAAGCAACTGAAGTAGAGGCGCTTGGTTGGAATGAGGTGAATCACCACCACACATTAGTCTTACGACGACCAAAACTGATGGACGCCACCAGTGAAAATTTTGGACTGTAGAATAGATCAAAGTAGTTAGCAATGTTTTGTTTACCAACAAGAGCTGTGTAGCAGTAGTCAAGCAATCATCAACGTTACTCAAAGCGCTTTATGCGAATTAACTCAGTAAAGTTGAGTCCTCAAGGTAAAGAGGAAGACATCGAGACAAAAACCCGTACAAACACTGTAGGCATTGTGAATAACTTCAAAATACATCGGCCAACCACCTTGTGCAGGAAAACGACATTCAATGGATGGACGGTAACACGATCTTCATTTTAAATGATCGCAAAGTCATTTGAAAACTAGTCTAAGAAGCAGGCACAGACTGCAAAATCCCAACAATGTGATGGAAAAAACGTTCGACGTCAAATTTTGGGTTTTCAAAAGCAACATTTAATGCGCTAAAAACTGCAGACCATAGCCAGAGCTAAGTTAAAGAGGATAATGTTCGTAGAACAACGATGAAGTGGACGTACTGTGACTGGATAAAAGCGGTGTAGGCCGCCCGGGAGAGCCCTTTGAGGAAGGAATTGCAGAAAGGTACGCTAGTGGCGTTGGGACAGAAGGGTACACCGAAGACACCTTGCTGTGGTCCGCCGATCGATATAACTGATCCGAGCTTCGGAGGAGGGCATCGCTGCGCCAAGGCACGAACAAAAAGGCCACCCTGTGAGAATCCAATCAGGTGGAAACCACCGGAGAGGTTGGGATCGGAGTGGATCATTTCGCAAACGATATTTAGCTGTTTGTTCACGGGCATGAAGAAGGAGTTCAAGCGGTCCTAAATACGGATGTGGCAGTGTAGGGACGTGGCGCTCTGCACTCGAAACCATAGAGACAGCTAGAAGCTTATTCGTATTACAAAAGCATCCTGACTTCTATGTCTGTTTTAGAGCAAGCCTAAACATTCTCGATTTCATCATGAATGTTATGGTGACTGGGTTGTTTAGGGATAAAATACTAATAAAAAGAGTGCGAATTAAGGTGTCCTCCCATCAAATCTGGCACCACAAGGCCTGAATAAGTTGAACTTAGTCAAGGGATCATGTGTACACGCGAAAACAGCATCATGTATACTCAAAGGAATCCAAAAATATCTTCCTTCATGCAACATTCTGTATCAAGCAACAAGAAATTCTATCACCCACAAAAAAACCAGAAGAACCGATTTTAACATCGAGAACGTAGGTCCCCGGTATCTCATCCATTATCATCCGACACAGACGCTTGACGCCACTGCCGAAACCAGAATCCCCTACAAGGTGAGAAAATGGACAATGCACAAAAAGCGGAGGAATGCCGACTACCAAGACATCATGGTCGATTACAAGCCACAGTTTGCATAAAACAAAGAAAGCAATCACTTGTCCATAAGTGTTAAGTCCGCAGCCTATTCGACTAATGCGAGAAAGTTGCTGGCGGAAAGCGTAACCAGCATCCGAAACGACTAGATAATACAAAGAGGAACATTTGAATCAAATTTTTACAAATTGTCTTTGAAATACCGCAGTTAATTTGTGATTACAAAAAGCGATGCAGAGGTTCCCACGTAGATAGATTTCACTAACCCATGCCGTGCCAAACAACAACACCCAAGGGTTTCGCGTTCACCTCCGCAGAGGTTGAAAACAGAGAGGGGAGAAGCCAGAACAAAAAAATTTCCATCCTATTAACTGACCTAAAACAGAATAATCGCCCCAATAAGCAAATGTTAGGACCTATATTACCCTGTTTTACTGCTTTCGCAATATACAGTGGGGTCCAGCCATGGAATAA